ATATTTTTCTGTCATTCAAAAATGAAAATGCCAAAAATATGTATTTTTGAAAATTATTTATTTATTTTAAATAAATCTAATTATTCTACAAATAAATATTTTTTTCGGTCATCAAAAATGAAGTTGGCAAAATATTTATTTATTTATTTAATTTAATAAAATATATTTATTTTAATTATTTATTTAAAATAAATAAAATAATTCTACAAAAAAATTAATATTTTTCTGTCATTCAAAAATGAAAATACCAAAAATATATATATTTTTAAAATTATTTATTTATTTGAAATATATCAAATTCTTCTACAAGGAAAAAAAAAAAGAAAGAAAGTGACAAATGTTTTTAAAGTTTCTTACGCTGTTCAAAGCAGATCTCAAATTTTACAGCAGAATCACTAACTGTAATAAATATGGTATTTTGGAGGCTCACCACGATTGTGGTAATCTGCAAACTATCATTACCATGGTAATTATTTTTTAAAGGCCCAAACCGTGTCTCTACGGGAAACAAAATATGAAAGCAGAAAAACAGATGGAAAGAAAGAGGAAAAGCAGAGAGAGGAATTCGTGAATGGGGTCAGACATGCTGTATCCCGTCACCCTCATGTTCCCTTTAAAGCATCCTGTAGATTCCATCACATCAACAATAACACGGGGGCTTGTTACCCGGCGACCAATCAGAAGCTCGGGGCTTGTGTTACACAGCCAATCGGAGCGCGGCAGCCCCACCCTCGCCCACCCCCCCGACAACCACAGCGCGAGCAAACAAGAACGAGAGAGAGAGAGAAAAGGGCCAGACTTCCTCTGCTGGAAGCACAAAATTCCTCTTCAGTCCTGATCAGAGTTCACTTGCATAAGAAAAGCACGTATAATCTTCGCATTTATGATTCCCACTGCACTTAATACGCACGCAATCTGGTATTTAAACTTCTGGCCTGTAAAATATTTATCTTCTCATGAATTATTGCTTGCAGTCCCTGCTGAAGAGGGGCGTGTCTTCGGCTGATTGACAGCTCGGGGAGCCCCGCCTCTCATAAACGCAGTGTTGGCGGGAGTTTCCCATCATAACTCGCGTAAATCACTTTCACATTCACCATTCCTGCGCAGTGGCGAAACGCACTTGTCTAGACGCAATCTAACGTCTGATTAAATGAAGCCAGGAAAGGGAAATTATAATCGTAAGCTAAAAATAACGACGGCAGCAAACAGGCATCACATGACCTCACTTGACTTCTAACATACATATACTTTCTGTAAAGAAAGGTCGTGACTCACATTGATTAATCGATCTGAACCAATATCGATTCTTCGATCTTTAACGTGGCGTGACAGATCACTGTAGATGTGAACCGATCGTCTGATCATCAGTGTATTCATTTACATCAGGAAAGTCAATGTTCATGAACTTCATAGATATCTAGAAAAAACAACTCTAGAATGGAACATTTTAGTAAATATATGCGCTATATTACATAATCATTATATTTTTGTCTGTTAGTGATGTCTTATTTAATGTACGTATGTAACGAATTGGCATAAAAACAATTATATTTTTAAAAAGTTATATAATTAATGCCTTATGTGCAATTTAAATATTACCATACAAATTTTATCGTGTTGATTATTGTATCTAAACAAATTTATTTTTTTACATTTAATAATATAGGTTGTTTTCCTAAAGAAAAATTTACGTGTCGTTTCTAAGTATCTAAGATATATGATTTGTTTTTATAATATCTGAAATATTTTTATATAATTTTCTCTCTATATGTATATATATTTCTAATATTTATACTTTTCTATTTTGTATGTGTGTGTGTGTGTGTGTGTGTAAATATTATATATAAAATTATATAAATATATTATTATATATTTTTAAATATTTTATATATATCTATATATTAATATTTTTCTATTATATAAATTATAAATTATACCTACCTGAAAAACTTAAAGCACAGTTCATATTAGTTGTATCTTGTTATTGTATTTGTTTGTGCCATTGCTTGTCATTTATCTATTCTTATTTTATTACTGACTGTTCACTTGTCTTTTTTTAGTTACAATAAATTCAATTCAGAGTTTGAAATCAAAGTTCTTTTTAAGTATCTTCCTCACAACATAAATATGAATCAACGACATTATAAATTGCAAAAAACACAAATACACTGGGTGACGAAACATTTCGATTGGATGACTGTAGTTTAGAAACAGGTCTAAAAAACTCCCCCATCTAATTAAAAAAATCCCCTACATAAGAGCCACCTAAAGGGGAAGCCCCCCCCCCATTTTCCAAAATGAAATTCAGGCCCTGTAATCTACAATATTTTTGTCCATTTATGGTGAAAATTGTGCATCTGATCTCTTTTTTGACGAATCAATTGTGCACACTGAACTTTAATAAGGTTTGATCAAAGCACTTAAACTAACTATGAGCAATTAACAAAATAAAACCTCACTACACCAACAACCATTCCATCAAGCTAATGTCCAACTAATAACACTTATAAACATTAGTAGCCGGTCTAATGATGCTCATCTCCCCTGGAAACAACTAATCACCCAAACTATTAAAGCAGGACTTCCTGTAAGTCTGCGGTAACACGAGTGCAGCGTCCCGCGCGGAGCGACCCATGTGGGAACTATTACGCACCTACGCCAGGACCCTCGCTGCTAAAACTCAGCATTCCGCTCAATCACGGGGTAATTAGTTTGGGAATGCTAAACCCGTCGCTAAACGGCTTTATCTCGCTGAGCAGCATCACATGGAGAACCCATGGTGTCTGGGTGGTCCGTTGCATGCAGAAAACCCGCTTCAGAAGTCGTTTAGCATGTCCTGAAGCAATTTACTCATTCTGCATTGAACAACTGCAGTCTAATGTGGTTTGTTTGTTTGCTTATTTGTTGCTAATGGTGATTTCTTGTTAAACAAACAACCAACTAAAAAGGAGCAAACCACTCCATGAACCTACGGTAACAACAATAAATAACAAAAAAAAAATTTGTTTTGTAGTTTTTTGTAGTTTAGCCTTTCTTGAACATATTTTAGTCTTGCTCGGTGTTTAGAAAGGCAGTTTCATTTTTTATTGCTAAAATACAACTGACTAAAATGGAAGTTCACTTAATTACAAAAAACTACAACAAAAATCTGTTTTTGTAGTTTTTTTAGTAGTTTAGCCTTTCTTGAACATATTTTAGTCTTGCTCAGTGTTTAGAAAGGCAGTTTCATTTTTTATTGCTAAAATACAACTGACTAAAATGGAAGTTCACTTAATTACAAAAAAGTGTGTGTGTGTGTGTGTGTGTGTGTGTATGTGAGTGTGTGTGTGTGTGTGTGTGTGTGTGTGGGGCACATCTTCACGGCACACCACCACAATCGCCGCGTGTGCCGTTTAAAGCTCACCGCCATTCTTGCAAAGCAGCGCTTTTTCCCTTTAAAACAACTATAAAAGATTTCTATCACAGGGAGCAAAGGCTACGCTCTGACAAAAAAAAAACACGGCAGACGCCAAACAGGGCAAAGTTTGTTTCAAATCATTCACGGGGGGAAAAAAAGCTGATGTTTCACCTGCAAACGGCTCTGAAACACAAACACTTTTATATTTGTCAATCAGTTGAATTCAATGCATGCTAAGTGCTCTTTTATGCATGTTTTCCTCTAAAGACCACAGAAATGCATGACGTTGCAGCTGAATGAAATGCAACACTTCAGAGTCCGTCGTACTGAGAAATATCAAGGCAACAGATGGAATACGATACTATGAATTTGATTATAACAACCGTTTGCATTGCAGAAACCACTTGTGAAATCCTGCCCCATCAGTCAAAAAGAGACGACTCGTATTTCTCATCTTATTTGTACGTCTGAGCCCTAGGCGAGTGTCTGATCCAACTAATAAAGCCAAAAGAAGAGATTCAATAACACTCGTAATGCCACTAACAATCACTGTAATAACAGACGGATTTATGCTGAAGGCCACACGCGGAATTACTCTTCAGTAAATGCATGCAATTATCGCAAACCTTTACATATAAAAAGACAAAAACATTTGGTCTGATACTGATAATTGTTTCATTATGGCCATTAAATGATGTAATGATCTATATTATAAATCAATAGTGCTTTATGAGCTGTTGTTTTTAAAGCACACAGATCTACACCTATACGAAAAATTTAAAACTTCATAATTGCATCCTTATAGAAATAATGTAGAAATAAGCTCACAATTATGATATTATCATCAGAATCCGATTGATGCATTTAATTAAAACATGCTAATATTAGTCAATACTGCATGGTTTCCAATATATGCTTTTGTTTTTTTATCACCATTGATTTTGAACATTGTTGTCTATTTATGGGTCTATTTTTATTTATTACGCCAGTTTTAGTTTCAAATGCTGATTTTATTTAGTGATACGTAAATAAAATTTGATACTACAATGCTTTCTTCCCCCCAAGTTTAATAAACATGCAACAAATCCCAAGTAATTTCGGCATTAACATGCCATTCTCTCATCTGTTTTGTATTTGATATTTAAACGAGGTCTTATTCTTTAAATAAAGACCCCAATATTCAGATGCAAATGCGTTCATTCAATACCAATGCAGAAAAATGCACACAAAATAAAAATAAATGCAGGCTAAAGGGAAAAAATATATATATATTCTGCATTCAATAAACCTTTCACTTTAATTATTTGTAAAATATAAGATCTTACACTCACAATCCAGCAACAAACTGAACTGTTAATTTAACACCAATGCAATAAAAATAAATGCATTTAACAAACACCTTTTACTAATGCTATCTGTGAAAAATAAGACCTTAACACTCACAATCCAGCAACAAACTGAACTTGACCATCATGGAAACACTTAATGGAGTTTAACTGATCTGACAAACACTGCAACTGGTGAACATGCAGCGCAAACACTGTAAACTGAAGCATATAAGCAATAAAAGCTGTTGAGAGAAACACAGTGAAAGTGTCTCTACCTGATGTGGCATCACCGTTTACTCTGGATTCACACACGCCAGCTTCACATTTAGATTCGAGTCCTAAAACACACACACACACACACTCTCTCTATGAGTTTGGCAGCAACTCTCACAATATTACACACCACTACACATCACTGAGAGCCCAGAATCAATCCGCAGAATCATTTACACACCAGCAAACAAATACAGGAGCGACATCCTGTTATTTTACAGAAGCTGATGTGAGTGTGAGCGTTTTGTTTTGTGTCACACACATACTCACACACTCAAACACACACACACACACACTCTCTCTATCTCTCTCTCTCTCACACACACACTCACACACTCCACAGCCACATATTCGCGAAAACTGACAACTACAGCGATCTTTTCCCACACTACGAGCACTAAAATACAATGTAAGTACATCTTACCAGAGTTAATCGGACTTGTTTCCGTAAGCATCCACTGAATCCGTTCTCAGGGCGCAATTTTAACTCGCGTTTAGTCCCGCGGACCGCTACTGATGCTTCTTCTTCTTTTTCTTTCTCCAGAATCTAGACAGACAGCAGCTTTGCGTCGCCCCGCCTCCCCCCGCGTGTCTATACACATAGTTACCGCGACGGCCAATCGCGGGCGGCCCTCGCGACACGGTCTCCGCCGATTGGGCGAAACGCCTGACAGCTCGATCGCGATTGGCCGAATGCCGCGCCTCTGACTGCGAAGGCGGGCGACGCCCCCGGCCCTTTAGGGGTGTGTCCTGACGTCATCGCTCAGCCGCTAAGAAGTAAACAATCTGTCCCTCACAGTGTTTCTGTGTTAGAAACCTTACAAATATCAAAAGTAGGTCATTCACGTTCAGAAGATGATAATATGCAGGATTTTATTGCAATTTATGACTGGGATTTCCTTTACAATTAATATAACTAATATTTAATATTATTATTTTATCATTGCCAACAATATAAACTGATATTGTGGACATCCAGGGTAAATAACAGGGTAATTTTGTTTGGTAAATAATATAAATACAATGTTACATGAATATGATTGGTGCATATGTCGAAAATATGTAGGTTTTTATTGCAATTTATGACATAATTTGTGGGGATTTCCTTTTAAATCAATATGACTATGTGACTAATATTTAATATTATTATTATTATCATTATTGTATGGATATCCAACAACAACAGGGTAAAATGTACCACTTTTAGTAAATAATAAAAATACAATGGTACATGAATACAGTAGTCATTCAGTTGCATGGATTCATATCAAAATATAATTTAGGTAAAAATGATTTTAGCAGTATAATAAGTGGATGATGTCAAAAATATGTAGGATTTCACGTGTTGTGTTTTTGTAAATAATACAAATACAATAGTCATTCACTTGCATAATATATATACTGTATATAAAGTGGGTAAAAGTGATTTCAGTAGTATAAGGTAATGATTTTATTTTTACATTTAAATTTTTATGGCATAATTTGTGGGGATTTACTTTGCAATCAATATGACTATATGATTAATATTTTTATTATAATTATATGATTGCCAGTAAAATATACTGATATTGAACATCCAACAACAACAGGGTAAATTGTACAAAATCTCGGTTTTTGTAAAAAAAAAAAAAAACAATTATGTAGAATTTTATTGTAATTGATTGTACAATTTGTTGAGATTTCCTTTTCAGTCAATGAATATATACCTATTATGTATATTATTATTATACTATATGATTGCCAATAATACAAACTGATGTTTTTTGTTTTTGTTTTTTGTAAATAATATAAATACAGTGTTACATCAATATGATAAAAGCCATTAATTTGCATACATATATTTATATTTATATAATATATATCAGTTGCATGGTATAAACATGCAAAACAAATAAAATCTTTGTAATTTTATTTAGCTGCAACATGTAGGAATACTGTAGGAATTGACTAATCCAGTGGAATCCTGTTTGATTCTTTGGGAAATTCCCATCAGGCTCCTGTAGGATTGATCCCTAATTATGTTATGAATTCCAGGACTAATCCTGTATATACTGTGAGTACATTGTGTCTGTGCCTGTGTCTCATATATCTCATGTGTCTCATGTGTAATGTATACAGTAGATCACGTGAAAGCGTAGGCTGGAATCTTCTTTCAGCCTTACTGATTCCATATGTTGCTGCTGCCACTGTGTGTGTGTGTGTGTGCGTGTGCGTGTGTGAGTGTGAGTGTGTGTGTGTATATACATAGAGTATCAGAAATACTCTGTTTTCTTCAACTGCAAAACAATAGTCCCATCAGCACATGGTTTCAGGTTGAAACCGGAATCGAGGGGCTACAGTTAAACTTCTGAGCTCGTCTCTATGTTAAGCTGCCTGAAGCGTCACTGGCCTCATTTTCCTTAGCGTTTCTTTTTTCCGTTTTGCCTGCATGGGACGTGCTTTGAACATTGTTACGCCCACCGGGGCCACATCCTGTGTTTAGGGTGTGTTTGAGGGCCTTTGACTCGGTTGTTGAAACGTCTATACATTAATTGTATGTGTGTGTGTTTAATTTGCTATAGTTTGAGGACAGAACTGTTCCTGAAACAGAGTTGAATCGGACTAGACTTTCCTTCTTGAAGAGAAAAGTGATTCTTTTATTAATTGTCTTGAATTTTGTTAATTTACATTACTGATTTTTTTAATGTTTATGAAAGAGTCCCTTCTGCTCAACAAGGCTGCATTTATTTGATTAATGCAGTAAAAATTCTGAAATATTATTATAATGTAAAACAGCTGTTTTCTATGTGAATATCTGTTAAACTGTAATTTATTTCTGTGATCAAAGCTGTATTTTCAGCATCATTACTGCAGTCTTCAGTGTCACATGATCTTCAGAAATCAGTATAATATGCTGATTAAGAAACATTTCAGATTATTATCAATGTTGAAAACATTTTTTTTTAACCCCAAACATTCAATGGGTTCCACAAAAATATAAAGCGTTCATATTATACTGATTTCTGAAGATCATGTGACACTGAAGACTGCAGTAATGATGCTGAAAATACAG